TATTTTATATAAATCTAAAATAATTGTAAATATTAAAAAACATTTTATATAAACCTAAAATTAAACTTATGTTATATAATTCTCAAAAGTTCAACTAAATCATTTTGAATATAAAAAAAGATTGATATAGGCCAAAAGTTGAGTCAGGCTCATGCAGACTGAAGATCACAAACTAAAAACCAACACAAATCCTTCAAGTAGTCGAAAGTCGAGATAAATCGTTCTAATAGTCAAAAATTGAGACAAATTGTTACAATAATATATAAAAAGTAATACTTTTTCATGTTAAAAAAAATATTCAAGGGCTAATCCTGATCCACAAGACTTTTGTGGACATATTGTCCTTGTGAGTTTTTCAATTTTTCTTACTTTTTAAACTTTTTTTTGGCTTCAATCCTTTATTTTCATATTAGTTATTAACCATGTTTAAATTTCATAGTTAAATATTTAATATAAAATAAATTTAATTTTGAAGAATACTTTTGTGAGAACCTGAAAATGAATTAGAAAGTTGATAGGGTATTAAGTTAATGAATCATGATATTTTTTTCTTTTTCTCTTTTAAAAGCACATTTCAGAACATCCTGGCTCATTAGCCCAAACCCCATTATCTCTCTAGAACTCAGATATTAAAAGTTCTCTGCCTTCTTTCTACCACATCTTTGTCTTCTCTCTACCATTTCTCTTCATTGAGCCAGTGGATTTCCGATCAGGTGGCGCCCAAACGTCCGCGACGTAGAGAGCTTCACAATGGGCCAATTCATTTTTGTTCCTAGGCTGGTAAGTCCTTACATGCAGTTTCTTCTTTGTTCTAAAACCTAGCACATGAAATCTTTGTTGGTTGCATGTGTCTTGTGCTTTCCTCTTTCTCATCTTCTACTCCATCCTAGCTCTAAGAGTTGTTCCTATCACCAATGTGGTGGTCTGTAGGGTTTTGTTGAGTTATTGTCGTGCAAGGTGCTGTTGAGAAGTTCCTGTGGGTGGGCTGTGATTTTGAGGTAATGGGAGTTAGAAATACGTCTTTATAATTTGTTGCATGTATGTGTATATAATGAGTTATGTATTATTTTTGCTGCTTGGTTTGCATGTTAAGTTTTAAGTAGATGGAATTATATGTATGGGAATGTGCATCTGTGAATCTGTGAACTGATGCTTGTGAATTGATTTGGATGTGATGTGTAACTGAAATTGAGTATTTTAGATGAAGGAATCTGCTGTGAAAACTTAGGTGTAGGTTGAGTGAATTTAATAGTGTTTTAGGTTAATTTAAAAGAAGTGGGATATCGAATTTGAGAGTTAGCGGTCACCGAAGTGGTCCAAATCAGTGCAAAGTGGTGGAATGGGGTTTGGGATCTTTAAGTTGTGGAAATTGATGTTGAGGAGTAAAAGTTGAGTTGTAATCCCTTTAAAAGTGTAGTAGGAAGGATTAGGAACATCTAGATAAGTCTAATTAGGTGAACAACATGAATTAGAGGTGTTAGTAATTGGGGAAAATGCCTATAAATGGTAAGGGTTTATGTGAGTGCATAATTCTGCAGAATTTGCGTTCTGCAGATGATGCAGAGTCGCTATGCGAGTTGTTTCGCATAGCGAATCCCTGTAGAGAGTGCTCACTGTCTAGGTCATTCGCTGTGCCAGTTGGTGCGTTGTGCGAATGACTAGAGGGTGTTGCTCTCTGTCTGGTGATTCACATAGCGAATCTAGTCACTATGCGACTGGTGGTGGCCTGTAGTCACTGCCATTTTAATTCGAAAGGCGAGAGGGGCGCAAAGCGAAGAGGTTTGGGGGTGTGCTCTCTGTTTAAGTTCCCGCATAGCAACCTGGGTGCGTTATGCGAGAAGACCTGAGGCCTGTAGCCTCAGCGAGTTAATTCACATTGCGAATTAAGGGGTGCGTTGTGCGATACTCTCTTGTCTCGCCTTGCGAGTAGGATGCGCTTTGCGAATCCTCTGAGTCCAGATTTCTTTTTTGCTTTTGCTTTGGTTGAATTAAGTGTGTGGAATGATTGGAATGCATAATATGATGGTGATAATGTTATTATATTGAAAGTATGTGAATGTATGAGACATGTTTGGTGGTTGAATGTAAGGTTATTGGACGTAATTCCATGATCTTCAAGGATAGGATCCATGGTGGTGCCCTTGGTGTGTTTTAGAATGATTTGCATGGAAGCTCAGTCTTGGGGGTTATCCTGAAATTACAATGATCAATCATTCTCAAGTAGAGATGATTGAATCATGTCGTGAGTAGTAGCAGGAGGTCCTAGTCTTGGGTGCTTCCAGTATGGCCCAAGGTGAGTGATAACGGACTAACCTCGTGAGTGTGGTAGGGTGAAACCCATTGACAATGACTTTGCAAAGCAGTAGAAGCCACCACAAGTGCATAACCCGTCATAACTCGGCAATCATTCTAAGTCCGGACAAGTCAAGTGTAAAGTGTAAGTTGTGTTGTGTGGTCCATTAACTTTGAATTAAACTTGCATCCTGTGTGTGATTGTTATGACATGATTTTTGTATACCTAGCTCACCCTTGCTTTTGTGTCTGTGTTTTGCTTGTGTGTGCTTTTCTTTTGCAATGATCATCCACTTGGATGTGGGAAGAGGTGGATGAGGTGCCTCTGGAGCAGGCCCTGGATGGTGATGATGCTGCAACTTAGTTTGTTCAGGAATTTCTAAATAAAGTACTTTCATTTTGAAATACTATAAGATGTTTAAGTTTTAAATTATGACTAAATTTGGGATGACTGTAACCTTAATACTTTATTTACAGTCTACTTATATATGTTCTCTTATATTAAAAATATGGACAATTATATTATACATTTATATATAACATGGAACGTTACAACTTTAATAAAAGTATTGTTTTCTTTTATTCTAATTAATGAATTATATTATATAAATAATTGATTGTCTTATAAGAAAAATAATTTATAATTCTAATATCCATAAATTTATAATATAAATAATATCTTATGTATAATTGTAACACCATCTCTTTTATGTTGGAGAAAAAAAATGTAGTAGTTTGAACTATCGTAACTTATTTTTTGTTGTATTGAGTTCAACATTTTACAACGTGTTCTTGAGATATTATTTTTCACTTTGAGTCCAATAAAAAAATATCATTTTTGCATTTGGAGTAAGAAATGCTCTTTTAGAAAGTCAATAAATTTTCTCCCCATTACCATGAGTTGCCATACGTAAAATATTATAATAATATTTAAATGGTAAATAATGATTTTACTATTATTTGTGAATGTATAGAAAATAATAATATTCAAATAATAATATAATAATATAGTTTTTTTATATAATATTAAGATAGAAAGTGAAAGAATAAAATTTTGGTAGTTGCATTCATCAATATTTCTTTCTCATTCTTTTCGATTTCCATTTTCTTTCTGATTAAAAAAAAATCTCTATTGAGCAAAATTTTAAAACTGTTTGAAAAAATTATTTAATCAATTAAAAAGTACAATTTTACTTGGACAATATATTTTGAGGTCATGAAAACAAAACCTTTATCATTTTATATATTTCATTTATCTATATTTATTAATTCATTTTTTTATTTTAGTGTCCTTATTTTTATTTTATTTTATTATTTATTGATATTATCTTTATTTTATTAATAAATATTCATGACATCACTTTTATTTTTTATTATTAGGTTTTGATAACTTCTTTTTATTTATTTATTGTTATTACTTTTATTCAAGTGTTTACAAATTTATTATTATTATTTTACTAAGCGAGGTGTTTTTAACTTAATTTTTTATTGTTATTATTTTTACTGTATCTTTATAACTTTTTATTTATTTATTTATTGTTATTATTTTATTAGTAGGATGTTTATAAATTTTATTTATTTATTGTAATTATTTTATTTATTGGTTGAGGTATCTATAACTTCATTTTTATTTATTATTATGTTTATTTAAATTTTTAATAAAGTGTTGGAATTATTTATTTATTTATTATCTAATTTATTTAATTCAATTAGTAAAATGTTGATAACTTTATTTTTATTTATATTTATTTAATTAATTTATTAAGTGTTTATAATTTTATTTTTATTTATCTTTATTATTTTATTTATTTAATTTATCTAGAAGCGTTCTCGTAACTTTATTTTTATTTTATTTACTTAATTTATTTAATTTGGTGTTGTTAATTTTATTTTTATTTTTATTTATTATTTATTTACCTAGTTCATTTAATGAGATATTTATAATTTATCTGTATTTATTTAATTTATTTAAGTGAGATGTTTTAATAAATATTTTTTTATTTGTAATTATCTTAAAAAAGAATAACACACATATCATAGTGAATTTGTTTTCATTAATATATAACTTTATTTGTTTTTCGTTTCATTTTCTAATACATAAAAAACAAAATTAAAAAGTCACTTGGTGTACGTGTTTACTTTTTTGTTGTTTTATTTATGATAATAAGGAAATAATAATTTTTTTATTCTAATTATAAAATAAAATATAAATAATTTTTATAAATTTATTGTAAGTAATTTTCTTATAGGTAATTTTTTAATAAAAAAATGGTTAAACTAAAAAAATATTAAATTTAAATAAACAGTAAAGTATTGGTAAAATAATTATTTTAGTTTGAAAAAATTATTTAAAGAATAAAATTGGAAAACAATACCAAATAAAAAAATTTCGTATATGTATTGAACCATAAATAATTGATAGAGATACAAGATATAGGGATGCAATGATTTATTCCTGGAAAAAGAATTTAAATCTGTAATATTTGATTGAGTTAATATTTTTTGAAGTTACAGAAGTAGAAAACAAACCTGTTAGTAAAAGGATCAAAGTTGTTCTCATTATATTGAAACATGGGCCGTAACCTAGCAGCAGGCCCACATAGATTTATGTTAGGATGTGCGAAAATGAATGTATATTCTGGGTGGGCGAATGTGAATTTAGGGTTATTGAGGGGGTGTAATTTGGTAAACCTAATTTTGGGAAGAAAGAGTGGGGGCGATTGGAGATACGTATAGATACGGTACGCAAGGGTGAACACAACTCTAAGAAGGGTTTTTTGTGACCCCTCCGTTCTCACTCACGCACGCAGTTCTCTCTTCTCTTCTCACTCGGCAGAAGAGAGAGAAATATCCAATACCTAGCGTACTCCCAATCCAATCCTTTCAATCTATCATCTATTTATCCCTTCTCTTCTTCCCCTTTTTCTCCCTTTACCCTTCTCTTCTCCTATTCGCTGGGCTTCGCTGTGCTTCGGCGTTGCTGAATCCATTACGCTCTGTCGAATCGGACGGCCAAGATTGCATCGCGAGGCATGCAGCAGAGTGATCAGACGGTGTTGAGCTTGAGGCCCGGCGGTGGAAAAGGCAGCAGGCTCCTCGGCCCTCGATTCGACTCCTCATCCTCGTCTTCTGCTTCCCCTGCTTTTGGCTCCTTTTCTGCTGATCTTCCTCTCCTGCGTCCTCATGGCGGCTCTCCCTCTCCCTTCTCTATCAAGGTATCAATCCCCTTTCCCTGGATCTGCCTTTTTGCCGCTTCAATTTACCCTTTTCTCACCACAGCTTGCTTTCTCTTTCTGTATTTCTCGCTTTCTATTGAAATTAGTATCATGAAGGATTCTGTCCATTTTTTGTTTTTTTTATCGTTGTTTTTTATTATTTTTTAATAGCTGGGTGTGTCTCTCCTAAACGTTTTCTTGTGGGTGTATTTGGATCTCGTATCAGCGTGATGAATAATATCAAGGCCCAATCATCGGGATTGTTTTCCCCTGTAAAGTTTATACTTTTGCGATGAATTATTTGGCTAAACTTTGAATTTGGATATTGTCATTGACACTCGTTTTTTTTGCTTGTTTTGTCCAATGCTTAGATTTGGACGTGTGTGGATTTGATTTGATGGTGGTGTGTTTTGGAATTTAAGCACTTAAGCCATTTTATTTAGGGCTGTGTGGGTGCTGAATCATAAAGAAAACTCTTGAGAAAAATGAAAAAAATCAACTAACTGGAAGGTAAAAAAAGAATATCTTTGTTGTAATGTTTTTTTTTTCAGTTTTTACAGGGATTTAAGCTAATGCCCATGAGGAAAGGGGCAAACTGAATTTGCATGTCCTAATTCTTGGTTGGGCACTAAGTATGTGTACCTGCTGTAAATATGGACAAAAAGCAATATGTGGGCTTTAGGTGGGATTGACTAAATTTCAAGTTACCCATAAAGGTCCCACATACATTGAACTAATTTCACAATTATAGTGGATGTGACAACTTCTATGTGGCACAGGAGATATCGTTTCCTTGTTACACTGTTTTTCTTAATGAGTCATTTATCTACATTTTGCCTGGATGTTATTGGTCCCCCCACTCAGATTCAGTGCTGGGGAGATTGTTATAAATCTTATACTTTTTGTTTGAAGGAAGTGCTTGCAAAGGCTTTAAATGAATCTGTTGAATTGTTTGCTGTGTTACAAAAATTGTTGACAGAATGATAACCAATATTGTATTTACATACTAGTTGCGATTGTTTGTGTGTTGAACATAGTTTAATTGAATTCTGCATTTGTTGTAGTACCGCTTATGATCTAAATACATCTATCTCTGACTTATCATGTACTTTTTGAAGTTGTCTTTTTGAATTGTGATAGTTAAACTGTGTATATGTCATGTGATTTGTATCTAAAAGTTTCTGAATTTACAGGCTGGAGATTCCCGGTTTGAAGGTCGTGAGCGTGTGCGATATACCAGGGAGCAGCTCTTACAACTCAGAGAGGTAATTTTTATGTTATTGCTGCTTTAATGTTATGGTTAATTAATTATACTTTTTTCCCGAGGTAATCTGTTTCTTCCATCTGTTGCCTAGATGTTATTCTTTTCCTTTTAATTTGAAAATTGTGGCTAATTAAAATTCTTTGGTGTTTAGTGATTGGATTCATCTTTCTAATAGCCTGTGCGTATTGTGTCTACTGTTATGTTATACGTTTACTTGTATTAATTAAACTTAAACAGAGGCTGCCAGATTTTCTACCGAACTCTCTTGTTCCTTGAAAGGCAACCTACATTGTTCCCTATGCCTCTGGATAAATTTTTAAGTGTGATCTTTTGTTTTCTTAAATATCCTGTCTCTTCTCTCCACATATCCTCTTTTTCAACCTAGTGCTCCAGTTTTTGTGCCTACTGATTCATCGCTTGTCTAATGGTTGAACCTTTTTGTTCTAAGGGTGTTGAGATCCTTGATGATGTTTTGAAGATCAGACAAGAAATTGTAGCTGTACTTTTTGGTGAAGATCAAAGTTGGGCCCGCCCAGAAAGTAACGTGAGTGTGTTTTCTGTCTCCTATTTGTGCTGTTAACTAAGACCTTATTCTTCCTTCATCCTCTTGGTAAATTGATTAATGCACTTGAAAAGCTGATTTATTTTTGGGGGTGAATATAATAGTATCTTACAGTGATTCATCAGTGATCAAGGAATGGTAAAATGTCTAATTGAGTATGTGATGCTGCTGTTTCTATTATTTTTTTATTAGTTCAATTAATTCGTATCATTTTAATGAATTTAACTTGTGATATTGTTACCATTGTAAATTCAACTATTCAAACTGTGTACTGATGTATATAATATTTTCTGCAGCCCTCAAATCAATTTCAAAATCGATATTCTGAGCCAGATAATCGTGATTGGCGTGGACGATCTGGCCAACCTTTTGGTAATGCAGATGAGAGGTCTTGGGATAATCTCAAGGAGAATAGGGAGTTTGGAAATAATCGTCAAGAGCAACTGAATTCTCAGTTTTCAAGGGCACAAATATCTTCTAACCAAGGGGTACTGATAACTGGCAGAAATGTTAATGTTTTGTATTTAAGTTTGATCTAGTGACATTTAATGCTCTTTACATTATCATTAAACAAGAAAGTGAAAAGTGAAAGCTTTTTTGAGCTTTTAATATGGTGGCATTGAGTGGTTCTCTCTTTGTGCAATGTGTAATGAGTTGTTTTATCTTATTTTCAATTCTTCTATCTCTATTAAATCAGGGGGGACCTACTCCAACACTAGTCAAGGCTGAGGTGCCATGGTCAGCTAGAAGGGGAACTCTCTCTGATAAAGATCGTGTCTTAAAGACAGTTAAAGGGTAATAGATTTCTACTTTTTAGTACTTGTTAATAAGTTAATGGGGATTTTGTATTTCAACATGCCCTTTATTATTTGGTGAGTTTCACATGTGTCCCACTTAATAGAGAGTGATGTCCATTTGATATAGGTAGAGGTCGAATGAATTTCTCCAAATAATAAAGAGTGTATTAAAAGCGGTATGTTGACTAGTAAAAACAACAAAAATAACAATATAGATCATTTTGTGGGATCGCACCATACTATATGTGAAAAATGGACTTTGCTTCTCTTAATTGGTAAATAAAGTATGAGATAAGGCGAGGGATTCTTTGATTGAGTTGAAGAACATTGTTACTTAACTCCCTTAAATCAAGAGTGGGTGCAATCTATCTTTCTCACTTTACATATTTACTCACATTAGATAAGTTGAATTTGTGAAAAGTAATCTTAAGTCAATATTTTTGAGTTTTGACTAGATTAATTTATTTATATATTTTCTGTGTAACTAATGAAAGTTAACTTTCCTTTTTAACATTTTGTATTTGCTTCTTCCCTCATGTGACTGGTATGATTCTTCAGAATTACATGGCCTCTGATACTGATAATCAGTACTGTGAACCATTTCAATGCAGAATACTAAATAAGTTGACTCCTGAAAAATTTGATCTCTTGAAGGGGCAGTTGATTGATTCTGGCATTACATCTGCCGACATATTGAAGGTTAATTTTATTCTATTAATAAGTATTTTTCTATCACATTCTTGTTTTTAATTGATTTGTTTGGTAATGCAGGGAGTTATTTCACTAATATTTGATAAGGCAGTGCTAGAACCAACATTTTGCCCAATGTATGCCCAGCTATGTTCTGATCTTAATGAAAAGCTGCCTCCATTCCCATCTGATGAGCCTGGTGGGAAGGAAATCACTTTTAAGAGAGTGCTCTTGAATATCTGCCAGGAGGCTTTTGAAGGTGCAGATAACCTGAGGGAAGAAGTGAGACAGATGACTGCTCCTGAGCAGGAGATGGAGCGAAGGGATAAGGACAGACTTGTCAAGATTCGAACCCTTGGAAACATTCGTTTAATTGGTGAGCTATTGAAGCAAAAAATGGTTCCCGAAAAGATTGTTCATCACATTGTTCAGGTTCTATCAGGACTTGAGACTCGATTGTTATATAATTTATTGTTGGTTTTGGAGTTTCCACTTACCTTTGTGGTTGACTGATGCTTAATACAGGAGCTTTTAGGTCCGCCTGACAGCAAGGTATGTCCAGCTGAGGAAAATGTTGAAGCTATATGTCAATTTTTCAACACTATTGGTAAGCAGCTTGATGAAAGCCAAAAATCGAGGCGTATTAATGATATGTACTTCAGTCGTTTGAAAGAATTGAGCACCAATCCCCAACTTGTTCCACGGCTGCGGTTTATGGTTCGTGATGTTCTAGATTTGCGTTCTAATAACTGGATTCCTAGACGTGAAGAGGTAAGTTTACTCGATTTACTCTTGAAAATATGCTATGACTCAGTTTGAAGGCACTTCCGTTGCTTATTTTATTTTTATCTATTAATTGCTTCTGCTTCTTTACTAATGTAGGTGAAAGCCAAAACCATCACTGAAATTCATTCAGAGGCAGAGAAAAATCTTGGATTGCGTCCAGGTGCCACTGCAAGTATGAGAAATAGCCGTGTAACTTCTGGTGTTCAAGGAAATGTCAGTCAGGGAGGATTTCCAATTGCCCGACCTGGTACTGGTGGTATGATGCCTGGGATGCCGGGGACAAGGAGGATTTCTGGAATTGATAATGACAACTGGGAGGTTCCCAGGACAAGATCAATGCCGAGAGGAGACATGTCAGGCATGCAAGCTGGAGGGCGTGGTCAGTCTCCTTTCATATCTAAGACACCAACTGTTAGCTCAAAGTTACTACCTCAAGGTAGTGGTGGTACTATAAGTGGGAGAAGCAGTGCCCTGGTGCATGGAGGTGGTGGTGCTCCTTCTGCTCGTCCATCAAATGTTGGTTTGAGTACCGAGTCCACACCTCAAATGCCTTCACCTGTTAAAGCTGTTTCTGCCATACCCTCTGAGAAGCCACAAGCTTCAGCTCCAAAATTGAATGTTGACGAACTTCAGCGTAAAACTAGTTCTCTTCTGGAGGAATATTTCAGTGTCCGGCTTTTGGACGAGGCATTGCAGTGTGTGGAGGAACTAAAAGCTCCGGCTTATCATCCCGAAGTTGTGAAGGAAGCCATTTCCATTGGACTAGATAAAAGTCCGCCATGTGTTGAACCTGTTGGCAAACTTCTTGAGTATCTGTTCGTGAAGAAGATTCTTTCAGCCAGAGACATAGGAACTGGGTGCATGTTATTTGCTTCTCTGCTGGATGATATCGGCATAGACTTACCTAAAGCACCAAATAATTTTGGTGAGATAGTAGGGAAACTAGTTTTGGCTGGGGCTTTGGATTTTAAGGTGGTGAGAGACGTCCTGAAGAAGGTGGAGGATGACCGGTTCCAGAAAGCAATATTTTCTGCTGCATTGCAGGTAATTAGCTCTGCATCTGGGCAAGCTGTGTTGGATTCACAAGCATCTGATATTGAGGCCTGTCAGAGTCTGTTCAACTGAATCAGATGAGTCTGCATGAGAATATTGATCCCTGTAACTGAACGAACATCAAATTCCCTTCCCTATAAAAGCTCTCACTTTTTAGAGCACTTTGTATTACAGTATGTTATAAAAGTGGGAGCTTCCAGTATCAGGTATTTTCTCGAGTTGTATAATTTTTTTTTTTGTTTTCATGTCGTAGAGGTGTTTTTTGAGGGAAAAGTTAAACCATAAAGCTACGGATTTTGTTTTCCAGTTGGCTAATCATGTGCCAAGAGAGTGGCCCATCCATCCGGGGGTCCAAATGTTTTTGTACTTCATTAGTTTCATTTTTTTCCCTTTATTTTCTTGACAGAGTAATTGTTAAACTGGTCAGTTCATAAATATCATTGTCGTTACTTTGGCATGTATTTTTTGAAGGTTTGAATTCAACTTTGTGTGGGTGCATGTCCAGGTATCACGTATTTCCTTCCTATAGAGTGAGGAAGGTCTCATAGTATCACGGATTATTATATTTAATTTCGATATGCCAAATCCCATCTTCTCATATACTGTTTTATAGTCTTTGCAAATTTTATTCTGAACTATCTTGTCCTAAAATGATTTTTATTGAAATTAAATTTGAAGCGAAGTGATTAATATTTAAATGTTGGTTGTTAGTGACATTTAGGAATAATTTGCAGTGAAATGTAGAGTTGATAATTTTCAGATATTAGGTTGGAATTTAATTGGAAAGAGGTAAAAATTTATAGTTTTTTGTTTGGTTGTCAGCTTAGGGTATCTAGCTACCTGAGTCGAGAATATCTTAAAAATAACATAATTATTTATGTTGTGTACCTGTCACAGATTTGAGACTTGTGAATGAGTTGTGACGGATGCAGATTGGTACTCTCTCTATCTTTGACGTTTAATAGAAACAGTTTTATGAAAAAAATTTAAGGCTTGAAACACTATTAAGGTATTCTCCTTTCGAACCTAAAATGGCATCACGGGATTCCCTTAAAATGTAGGTACTTGTTTTTGCTTTTGAAAAATTCAATATTTTCAAGACATGAAATTGTTCATAAAACTAATAATTACAATTTTAATCGTTATGTATATATAAAAATATAAGATTTAGACCATAACTGAAAATTTGTACAAAACCATTAATTTAATAATCATTTAGTAATAAAAAATCAAATATAATCGTATTATAAATCAATCGACATTTTATCTTTATCAATAATAAATTAGCTTAAAGATGTTTTTATTCTTAATTTGACACAATTATTTTTAAGATTTAAATAAATTATTTGTAGGTTACTTCTAAATAACTATCTTAACTTTTTTTTATTCATGGGATTGTTGATAGGGATGATAATGGGTGCAGTACATATTTTATTATTCCATCCATAGTTTCAAGTAAAAAATTAATTAAACAATTAAGAAAATCACAACTAAAAAATGTGATATTATAAAATTTAGTGACAAAATAGACATTTTTTTTCTATACTAAATATTAATAACGAAATTATAATTATATAAATATCAAATAAAAATTAGGAAATAAATTATAGATAATATTAGAAAAATTATTAAATGTGTATTTAGAAATAAGTTATGAAATTAATAATAAAGAAAAATTAAACTAAATATTTTAAATTATTAAAGATGTTTTTAGTAATTTTTTTGAGTTGAAATTAGGAGAAATTATTATATATATACATTCTCTTCTTACATTGAATTTAATAAATTATTTATTTAGAAAATAACATTTTGAAAAAAATTATAATTGTTTAAAAATAACAAGATTCTATTATTTTAATATTAAAATACTTTAATATAAAAAGTTTTGTAATGAACTGTTTATTTTGGACTCACTGTCAGTTGAGTTTTAAATATTTTTCTTAGTCTTATTCTATTTATTTATTGTACGTGAAATTTCTTTTATGTATATCATTTTAGTTATCTAAATAAGTCTTTATAAATCAACGATCATGTAATGTTTCTTGTCATTTATATTGATAAAATCATATTAGTACCATATGTTTATATATTTAAACAAATTGTTTTCTTTATAATCTTATAATGTCTTATTTTATTAATAGTAATTATATTACAAATTAAGTATTATTGATAGATATTAATTTATAAATTTTCATTAAAATAATATAATAAAGAATTCACGAAAAAAAAACTTAAAGAAAGATTGTTTATAGATGATATAAATAACCATATCTCTAGAAAAATTAAAGTTAATTTATGACTTATGTTATAATTTTTATTTTAAAAAGTAAGGAGCTAAAGCGACAATTTAAGTAACATTTCATTATAAAAAAACAAACTTATTAGTTAAGTAATAACTCATTTTTACTAAATTTGTTAACCTAAAATGATATTATATATATATATCACTCATTTTGGTTATTTGGTGTATAATTTTGATGAAAAATAAAAAGAAAGTTATTAGTGGGATGTATGTAAGACCATGAAAAATATTTACCTTAATTGTAACAATTTTATTATTGGTAGTAATAAATTTATTTGGGAATGGAAAATATAATTAATAAGTTAAATATAGAAATTTTGGTAGCTTAAATGGTAGAAAATTGTGGTGATTTCAAGAACATGAGTTCAAGCTTTTTTTTACATTTTTGTTAAAAAAAATTATAGTGGATGAAAATTCCATGTTTGAAGACATTATTGAGGGATCAAATAGGCCAAGCGGTGATTAAAATATTAATATAATAAGATAATATTAAAATAATAAATAATATTAAAAAATTGTTAAATAGTAAAAATTTTGGACTATAAATAGCCATTAGAGGGGAGGTTATTCTGCATAAAAAGAGGAAGAATCAGGTGAGAGCTTCAGAAATAGAGAAGAAAAAGTTAGGAAGAAATTTTTAGTTGCAAGAAGAGTAGAGGTTCGGGGTGTACTGTATAAATATTTTTACGGACCGTTTCTGTCAAACCTTTTCTTTTTCTATTTCGGATTCGAACCATTTTGTTGTAAATGAAAAAAGCGCATTTTTGTATATATTGATATGTATATCTATATCCACTTTAGTGAGATCGACACAAATTACTCGTAATCCGTTTCTTATTCTTATTAACAAATCGATTGAAAATTGAATCAATGAAAAAAAAAGATTTGGAGAGTTTTCGGGGAAACAAATCGGAATAGAGCTAGTCTGGAATAGAGCTAGGGGAGCTAACCTTTCTAAGCTTTTATATTATGATTTAGTATTATTTTATTACTATTAATGTCTTGAATTTCTGTGTTAATATTATATGATGTTGTTTTGAATCTGTAAATAAGAAATTTGTTAAAACTAGTTGAGGAAAACTTTGGCTAAGGAAATACTTGGTACTTAAGTTGTCCATAGTGACGCACCTCTCTTTCTTGGAAGTCTACTTGACAAGTTTTTAACTTAAATATTGTTGAACAGATTATGTACTGTTAAACTATTGTGCAATATATCTCGTTGGAATGAAAATATCTGATGAATTCCTGTTATTGTGGTAGATATGAAATTATGAATTATAATTGTGATGGTATGATAGAGAAATCTTAAAAACCGGAGTTGGTACATCCCTGATCATAGAGCAGCCCTGGTCAAATCCAGTAAGTTGTGACTAGTCATATGTACTAACGTTTATGGTGAGTTTGATTCGTCAAACATTTGATTCTTCTCCGGTGACCATTTATAGTGATATTTTAGTATTGTTAATTTTATTTATACATTCATTTTGTATGATTTCTGTGATGATTGTATTTTATTATATTGGATTTGAATTTATGCATCCGAACATGATATGAGTATTATGGGGAGATTTTGTAATGGTATAATGTGAGTTGAGGAATATGAGCATGGTATGAGTCTCGTAGAGAGATTCGGTAATGATATGGTATTTGTGTATATGTTGATGTTGAGGGTCCTGTAGGTGGAGGTTATCTTGATACTCTAATAATCATCCAGTCTCAAGGATGAATTATGTGGTGAGAGGAGCAGGAGGTCCTGGTCTATGTGCCGGTTTTGGACATAGTGTTGAGGACTAACCTTGTGGATGGTATGTAGTATTTTGGAAGTGTATTTGTAAGAAGAAGTAGAAGTCATCACAAGTGCATAACCTCCTCCCATGACCGCTCATCAAGGTATCATCGGGATGAGTGTCTATTGTGGTATTGTGGGATGAGTATCTATGTGCGATTGTTGTATGACGGTATGAGAGTGTCTGACATAATTATATGAGGTTTGTTGAGTGTATCAAAGTAATTCTGCATGTTTTATAAATGATTGGTTGGATGTCAGTTCACCTGCTTGTTTGTGTTTGTGTATGTGCGATGATCGTATAATTCGTTATACGGGAGTAGATGAAGGAATGTCGTCTGATTCAGTGTCAATAAAAAGAGATAGAAGAATAAAGTAGAAGAATTCAAGTTATATTTATAATTTTGTAATTGAAATGTGAGTTTAAAACATTTATAAATATATATCAATTATGAATTTTCAAGTGTAAGATTAGGGGATGTTATCTTAAGTGTAATGCTATAATATATAAATTATAAATTATCTGTGAGATTTCTTTGATTTTTTTTTTACTAGAGTGCAAATATATAAATTTGTTTCGTATCAATTTATTTATTTTAATGTAAAACTCCAGCAGGTTTGGCGCCTTTTTGATTTGGATTGGTGTTCATCTAAAGTAAATGGCAGAGAAAGAAGATGCAAGAGGGAGCGATGAATCGCTGAAGCTAGCGGTGGCGATATCGCTTCTCAGATCGAAGATTCTGAAAAATGCAAACGAGTCCAGTGCGCTGTCTCCTTCGCAATCTAACGCTCTTCTCCGTTGGAAGCGAAAGGTTAGACACTTCCTTCGTTTTCATTCCAATCTAATGCCTTCCAATCTTCAGTTTTATTTCACCTTCGGATTCTCAGGCTAAAGAAAGAAAGCAAGAAATCCTGAGGCTCAGAGAAGATCTCAAGGACGCTCAAGGTTCGTTCTCATTTCTCTCGCGTATAAACTCACGTTCACTCGAAATCACGGATTCATTCTGAGTTTCTGGATGTAGATGCTTCGCACTGCGATCTGTTCCCGGAGAGTGCAGCTTGCAAGTGCTATTTCTTCGATAATTTCGGAGAAGGAAACTCTAAGCATCACGGAACTGGTTGCGACAGTAGATTCAGCGATGTCCTTCGACGCAGATTTCTAAGACAAGGTTTAATTATAGTCGTCACTATTAGCTACTCTGTTACATAACTACGCTTTTTGAATTGCCGTTGACAAATTAGCTTTCTGTAGTGCGATTCAAGGAAAGGAGAAGAAAAATAGGTTCTCCTTCTTCAAGTCAGCAGCGGCTTTCTTTAGGTAATTCGAACGGCATTTATAGTTATAAACAACTGAGTGTTAGACTGTGTGGTGAATCACGCAGATTATCTGCCTCTTTCATAATTTGTAATTAGAAGGGTGTTTTATCTAATAGTTCAGGATGGCATGACTAATATTTGATGTTAAGTGCAAGGAATTGTATTAAACTTGTTGTCTGATTTTGAAATTAAACTCGCAGATTTAATTAAGGAGGATGAAGCAGAACAGCTTAGGGCCTCTGTTGATTTTCTCGTGGACCTGTGCAGCTCGCTATCACCTGTTAGGATGCTTCACTGTTTTTTAGTATTCTATTTTCCTGAAATGATCTACTCAACATTTGAATAATACAACTATTTGGATTATACAGTTTGTTGGTTTTTTGCTATCTTTTTGCGGTTAGCAATTTTTCTATTAGCCTGTTTTGCAGCTACTATATATAATTATCTTTGTTGTTTTCTATATATTTTTCGTTCAATGAATTTATGAGAAATTCACCATCTAAGTCTTTTCTTCTTTCTCAATCAGCCGTTCTTAGCAGAGTTCATAAATACTAGTGATATTGAATAGAATATGAACAAATAACTGTTTTTGACATGCTTTGTTGATGTTTTTTTGCTCACGTGGTGTATTCAATTTAGTTTGCAGGTGTATGATTCCAAGTTTGCAAATCTAGCACATCAAGCTGTAGATTTTATATTAGGTATGTGCTATTTATTTGAGAACCCGGTGTATCAAGCTGCAGAGTTTATATTCCGTATGCTGCTTTTGTGACTGTTTGGCTTTTCCACTTCTTTCGGTTTTGATTAAATAATTGAAATATTGTGAACCCAAGACTTTAGGGCATTGACTATCATTCTAACTAACCGCTCTTCATAGTAGTTTATCTTGTAAACATGCAATACCATGATCAATCTCCCACTCTCCCCTTAAAGACTATGATGAACTGTAATGTAACTTAGTACTGGTCCCTATTTCCCATTCTCACATCAAGTGGTAATTTGAGCTATGAGCGATTTACCTCAAAAGTTTTCGAGCTATACTAAGTTTAACTTTGATTTTTAGGTTTTCGTTATGGATCACCATTGCACATGTAGTCCACCATCATATTTCTTTGTTATTTACTCTGAAGATTATATTTGTAAGTCTTTTTTGAAGTTACGTTGAAGAATCTTTTATCTACGGGAAGGAACCACGAACTTGTTGAAGGAATTGTCAACAGCCTAGTTACACGTTTGATTAGGCAGATGTGCACGTCCTTGTTGGAAAATGGTATGCATAGTTTAAGATTGTGCGAATAATCGTAGATTACTTTTTAAGGTCAATGTGTAAGACGGTAAACTACTGTAAAATTGTCGCCATTGTGATCTTTTATTTGTGGATCATTCTAATCGTTGACTTCTGTCTCTTTTTTTTTTTGCCGTTCCTTTTAAATACGTATCTTCTAGGGTCTCAATACACCGGCACCAATGCTCAATTTTGTGTTCAGCATTTGATCCGCAAACTTGGGAGCGAGCCTTATATTGGTCAGCGGGCAATTCTTTCAGTGTGTCAAAGACTTATGGTGCTAGCAGAACGTTTGCTTTTCTGTGATCCTTTTGACGATGACTTTCCTGAAATGCATGATTGTATGTTCATACTGTAAGTTCTTAGCAAAAGCGCAATAGTATAATTAATGTCCAGATTCATAAGCCATAACGAATAGCTCAATACAGGTTTCGAGGAAAGTAATGATGTTTTTAAAGACAACAATTTATCTATTTTTTATGCGGTTGTCAGGATCCAGCTTATCGAGTTTTTGGTTGCGGATTACTTATTAGAGTGGTCAAAAGCTGAAGATTTTGACAACGGTATGCTTCATACTTTATACCGAACTTAACTAATTAATTGAGATATCGAGTCTTGATTTTTCTGACGCAAAACAAATACAAGTGAGCCAACATTTAGTATTTTTCTATACTGTTACGTTTATACTGTATATTCTTGTTAACTGACTGTAATAAAGATGAACCAAATTAAAAAAAATTAAACTGAGTGGTAACTTGTGGTAACAATGACATTTCAGTGCTTCTTGAAGATTGGGTGACATCAATTGTGCAGGCAAGAAAAGCATTAGAACTTCTAGAAAGCAGAAATGGACTATATGCGCTCTATATGGATCGAGTCGCAGGTGAATTGGCGAAACAACTTGGTGGTGTCTCATCGTTTCTGAAGCTTAAACCGGATATTATTAATTGCCTTTTTCGCTAAGCATGATCGGATATTGGAAAAAAAATGTTATGGATGAGAATGAAAAAGCGAATATGATGCTGGTAATTGAAATTGTGTAAGCGAGAACCTGCTCACGAGCGCTGCTGAAATGTCCTGCTCGAGTACATGGTGAGTAGCATTAACTGTTGGCTTTTTTCATCAGGTTGCTGTCAATTCATCGCTTTTAGTTCTCTATATCCAATTCCTTAGACCTGTATCTTCATCTTGCTTTCATTACAATGCCATCCAAAAACATTATCCAACCTTCAAACTTTCTCGGTTTAATTTTCAGAGCTAAAAGCTTTTTACATGGTCTTTTACTAGATTAGTCGATAATAAAAAATATAATAAAATAAATCATTACATATGCAGCTTTAATTTTTATATTTGTACTCATGCTTTACTTTAAAAATGTATAATGCTATGCATAACATGTCGGAAATTTGATAAGAACACATATTAAATGGATTTTCTGAGTTGTGAATAATCATTGTCTTTAAAGATGTATCCAGTGTATGTCTAAATCTGTCAGGGTACAATAGAAACGTCTCGAAAACTTTCGAGAGTATTAGAACTAGCAAGATCTCTTTTAAAGAATTAATATAAACTCATAATATAAAAGAATAAGAAAAGAGAAAACAAAGATATGTGAGAGGGAGAGCTCGTCAAGGTGTGTTAAGTTCTTTTGCATTGATCAAAATACCTCTATAAAGTTTGGAGAAGAAACGAGACTGGCCCAAAGTCCAAGACGTGTGGAAGATCTCCCTTGCGGCTGAAGCCAAACAGCGTCTTCGGGTTTCTTGTGGATGCGGATGTGGATAACTGGGTCATGCAAGATCTTCCAACGACTCGACTAAAAACTAAGCTCGGCCACTCGAGCTCGATCAACATAAGCTTGGCTAACATGAGGAGAGACAACATAACTTTTGCAATATATATAAAACACAGGTAAAACAACATAACAAACGTATAACATTTATAAGTGTGTTGATATATGAACTCTAAAGATAAATGTTTATATTAGCTGTAGAAGTGAAATTCTTATTTTATTTTTTATATTTGTAGAAGATAAATATATATCAATATAAACGGTACCAATAATAATACTCGACGACAAAAAAAAAAGCTAACAAAACATGTATACCTTTAAAAAAGCAAAACTACTTATAATACTACCATACCATAATAACAAACATTAACATGTATTTGTTAAGCTTTATTTTATACTACTATGGCTTAACTCCTACCGTGTATCTATTGAAAATAAAAAGTTTGAATAGGTATACATACAAAAAGTAAAGGTTGGCGAATTAAAAAATTCTTTTGTACAGAGGCATTCTGTACAAAAAGAGTGAACTCATCTCAAACATCAGAATCAAAAACTTACTCAATGACAGCAGCTACAATAACAAGGCAATTATTCACTCAATGAACCTATTCAAATTCTAGCTGCAGATAAGTGTTCTATAAGCTTATATATTTGGAAACAGTGAGGGTACTAAGATAAATTTCTGAGACAACTTATGGTACTCTGAAGAGAAACATAAAAGAAGTAATGCAGCAGCATCAGCATCATCATCATCAAAGGGGAAAAACAATTAGAATACTATAATGTAAATCCATTATGGAAACCTGAGACAAGACAGCACATATAGTCAAATAATTACAAATACATGGAAGGCAAACAACATATAATTACATAGATTGTAATTTCTACAATATATACTTGACTGTGACAAATTGACAAGGACCTTAGAGATCCAACTAAGATTTTCACAAAGCAGCAGAAAGATGAGGTGATGAATTCAGAGTGTTTATATCTTGGATGAATCTTCCTCTCACTGATCAGATTCGGAAAATATCTGTTTGAAACCTCTCATCATATAAACTCCAATGTCCATACCTTTCAGTGTGGAAGACAGACCTGGGGATATAGAAATTTGGCTTCTTAATTTCTTTCAAGTGCACCAAACTACAAGAAGCATTTGCAATGTCTCGACTAGTTAGGTTAGCACACCCAGACAAATCCAAGAACTCAAGGTTAGGACATCCCTGAGATATGGAATTGAGACCCTTGGCTGATAATTTGGAGAACCTAATCTCAAGATGCTTAAGATCAGGCATGGAATTCGCAATTGCAACAGCCTCATCATCTCCATCTTGTGGACAAGCATTTAGATACTCATTAGGAACAATGCCTTGGTGTTGAGAAGGATCAAGCCAATTCATGAAATTTCTTTTGAGAACCTTAAGGTTGGGACAGGTTCTTCCAATCAGCACCAATGACTCATGGCTTATCTCATAACAATAGCTGATATCCAATTCCCTTAGCTTCTTACAACTCAAAGCTATCTTAGACATAGAATCGTCAGTCACACGAGGGCAGCTTCTGATAGACAGCACCTCAATATTCGGGCATCTGAGTTTCAAATATATTTTAAAAAGTGTTAAATGCTCCAACCTAATGTTCTATTCACAATAGAAGGAACATATAAACACACAGATTAAAATATTGGAATTTCGGAATCAAAGCCCTAATTTAAAAGAAAAAAAAAAAGTAAAGTACATATTACTGAAATCTTAAATGCTACCATAACGAATTATGACATGTTTAATTCACGTTAAATGATCTAAAATTACGTGAAAAATACTAATTATCCTAATTTGATTTTACAAAGAAAACATTCATTACTTTCATCGAACATTCAAACATTCAAACAAATGGGTAAGGGAATTTGGGAGAAAGTTGGAACCTTTGGGCGACGAGGGCGAGAGAGCGATCGGAACAGTGGCGAATGCGTATCTGGGTGAGAGAGGATTGGGCCCATTTGACGACAGATTGAAGCATGGAATCGATCATGGCCTCGAACTGAGGGGTCCACCAGCGAGTTGACTCGAGGGGTGAGTCGAATTGGGAATCGAGGTCGAAAACAGAGTGAAGAGAGGGATCCTTGAAGGCGCTGAACCATGACTTGCAGACCATCATGGTGCCGCGCCATCGGTCCTCAACGCTGAGTCGAGAGAGGATGTTGATGAGTAACTCGCGAGTCAACTCGCACCAATCTGACTCAGATTCCTTTGGCTCAGTTTCCGCGTTCATTCTTCCTTTGGGATCAGATTTCACTCACAATTCAATCCTCTGTTTATTACAGTGTTTCCATTTCATACCCTGTTTTAAAGCTGGATATAATGAAGGATAGATATTTTTTTTCTTCTGAAATTTTGGCCTACGTATATTTTTTTTAATTCTCTATAATGTTTTGTTTTGCTTTATTTTTGTATATATAATTTTTTTTTATTTTATCTTTAAATAACGGTTATTTTAAATTAAAATAATTATATTTTTATTTTTATTTGGCCTACGTATATTTTTTTAATTCTATATAGTGTTTTTATTTTAATACAATTGTGTTAGAACAAAAATAAATAACCACATATACGTTTAGCACATATATTCCCACAAATTTTATTTTAAAAAATAATTATTAAAAAAAATGAAAAAAATGTATACATATACTAATAGTTTCTTTACATAATATAAATATCTTTTTGTTTTGTTTTACTTATTGTAATATATAAATTGCTTTTTAAGACATAATTATATGTTTTTTAAAGGGCCCAATACAGAATTCTTTTAAAGGGCCCAATACCGAATGTTTTTTGCATACCTTTTGAAGTAATGAGTTGAAAACTATTCTTTAGAGAAGCATCTGACAGAAAATAGAAAGAGTAACCGGTTAAGTGGAGGATTGGAATAGAGTTATGTTGTACAACATGAATTTCTCTTTCCTTGCTTTTACTTTTGCTGGTTTGGATAATGGAATTGACAGTTGCTTTCCAAACACACTATAATTAACTGAATTGACAGTTGAACAGAAGCTTAAACAAATTAACGATCAGTTATTAGTTATTACTTTGACACCCCTCTGCAAGCTGGAATGTGGATATCCAAAACATGCCAACCTTAGAGGCAAGAATTTGAAATAGCCAAGGGGAATAAGGGGTCTTAGAATGTAGCAACCTGAGTTTTTTGGAATAGGAAGAAGAAACAAGACCAAGATTGAACCTTCTTTCACATCAATGAATGTGTTTTGGGCCATGAAACGGATTGTAAGTTATGTACAAAATGGATGGATAGTCACAGGAGATGACAGCTGAACTCATCACAGTAAATACAGAATCCACTGTGCTTCACAAGTGACTTGAGCAAGCCACTTTTGCTTTTCCGTAAGAAAATAGATGACCCCAAGAAAAAGAAAATAACTAGTATACCTGCAAGTGCAACACTAAATCCTTGAAGTTGAGGAGCTGAGCTTGTGGCAATCTGAGAAATGGTATAGGGGTCAATCTTAGCTCATCTTTCATTAAACCTTTCTTTTAGGGACTATTAAATGAGGGAGCTAGAAGAAAACTCCAGTCTCAACTTTCTTTTCAAGTGAGTTAAAATCACAGTTAAAATAAACTTGACACTAGTAATAGACTTTAATTAACTCTTGAAATAATACTTTGAATATGAGTCAAAGATTAAGTTGAATTGTCACGAGCCAGTTCAAATCGAAGGTTAAGATGAGACAATTTGGACTAGTTTTAGCTGATTGTCCATATGGATCGGCTCAACCTGAAGATTGAGACGAGCTCATTCAGTTGAAAGTCAAGATGGACCAACCTAGGCCAAAGGTCGAGATGAGGTAGACTCGATTCATTTTTTGCCAGGATTAACCAGGTCGAATTCAACCAAATTTCAGTTGAGACAGATTCAAATGAATTCGTCAAAATTTTGATTAGGGTCGATTCAGCTAAATTCTGTCGAATTTTGATCGGTGCTGAAATTCGGTCAAATTCGACCAAGTCAACCCCAATCAAAATTAAGCTGAATTCATCTAAGTTGGTTCTACTCAAGACGAAGGTTGTTTCAGGCTGACCCATGTTGAAGTTTGAGACAGAGTGGCATGAGCCAGAGGTAAAGATGTGCCTACCCGAGCTGAAGGTCAATCTTAGACTATTTGACTAAAGATCAATCTTGGGTAATTTTCTTAAAGGTCAAGATTGACCGACCTAAACTAAAAGTTTAATAATATATTTTAAAAAAATAATATATATATATATATATTTGTTTTAAAAAAAACCTATTTTCATGTTCTAACCCACGAGACTTTTATGGTCTTTTTAATCTTGTGGGCTTTATTAATAGGGGCTTTTTGACCCCATCCAACGTGGGTTAGGGTCAAACCTTGTGAATTGGACCAAATTGATAGCTTTATGTCCTTGTGAGATTAAAGACTCTCCTAACTAGTTTTTGAAGTACACTTGGATTGGATATATGTAGCTTTGCCAAACAATTTGTTAATGTGGAAATTAGCTAGACAACAAAAGCATATTCTCATTGATAAGATTGATTCCTTGTTAAGACCCGACAATTTCAAAGCCAAGGAGAAATTTGAATTAACCAATATCCTTAAGACTTAGTTTTACATTCATCAATTCCTTCACATGACTAATTTCAAAGAGGTTAATACCTAGTAACAACAAATTGATAATCACAAAGTATACAACGAGTACCAAAAATATTACATTTCTTATGCCTATGACCTTGAACGACTCAAAAAGCTAGTAAAAACTAGTCATTTTAATACTAATTTCAAAAGTTAATGTCCTTGGACATTGTGATGTTTTTTTTTAGTTTTTCCTATGTAATCAAATTAAAAAATAGAAAAATTTCTCTAAGAATGACTTGCTTAAGTAGGTGGAAACAGTCAACTGTTAAACAAGAAAAGGCTTACTTAAGCAAGGCTTCCAGCTTGTTGAGTAAGAAGAGTAAAAAGTTCTAGCAATAGGGAACATCAAACAATGAATTGAACTAACTCAAGAAAGTAAAGTAAGAAAGTTGGTTTTCAAGGAACTAGATGGCATGCTTAAGCAAGGCTAAATGATCATCCAAACGAGTAATAAATAAGTGAATAAAGTCACTTAAGCAAATGACATGAAGACTCGCTGGAGTGAATGAAGTAAAAAAAAACACCTTATCCTAGAACATAAAGTATAGCTTAAGCAAGATGAGATGCTCGCTTAAGTGAGCAAAGATGAAAAAGACAATATGACATTGATATAGTAGTTATTATCATATAAATAGGTTTGAAATAGAATTTAACTAAGTTAAAAGTGTTGGGAACTATTGAAAGCAAGGAAAGTAACAATCAAAAACACTTGAGACAATCATAATGAATCAAACTTCATTGATTTAAATTTGTAGATTATAAAAAAAATGAACTTTAAATTTAACTCAATCTTACAAAATTATCATGCCAAAAAACTCAAATATGAGAAGGAATAGAGAGGGACTCAACCATGAGTGACACGATATATCTAACTAATCTTACTCATCATGATCCTTAATAAATTTTGATATCATTTTAAAAAATGAACTTTAAACTTAACTCAATCTTACAAAACTGATTTGATAAGTTTGGTAAGTTGAAGTTTACATTGTTTATAAATTAATTTTGGCCATATATCTAAATAATGAGATCTCCAATATAGATTAAGTATGATTGACTAAATTACCTATTGTTAAGGTTGGAAATCAAGAAACCAAAATCGTGCGTACACTTTAGTTTCATCAATTTTCTATTCAGTAATTATTTTTCTTTTCTATGCCTAATGTTTCATTTGAGACTGATCACCTTCTAGTTGTTCTCTTCTTGAGAATTCATCGACGTTGAAAACACTCCGAATCCTTGGAACGGGAAAAGACAACTGATTGGGATTGCTCCTAGGAATAGTTCAAAATCAATTGGGCCTCTCTTGGCATTTAGTCATTCCAGCTGGTCTGTAAGCCTAGGCTTCACATATACTTCAGTGAAGATCCCCACATCGAAATCTACTTCGTACAAATACCAATTGACTGTGAAAGCAAGTGAAGAAGCCCTCCTAATGGTCCTCCAGAACATTAGACCGAGTCTCTAAATAATAAATTTCACAAGTCTACGCATACCCCCTTAGCAACTAATCAACCTTTTTACCTTTCCCCCGAGCCATCTGCATGGTGCTTCAACTTGAAAACCTAGCTTTATCTTATTGCCATCTTCTGTGGTGGAGAGAAGTAGGGGTCTAGGTTTGGTTCTTTTCCAAAGTAATTAGTTCAGTCTGGAGAGCGGTTTGACTATTCTGCAAAGCAAATAGTTCAGCCTGGATAGTGATGTCATACTTTTAATAGCTTATGCATAAGATGTAGGGTTGAGAGAAGAAGAAATACAAAAAAAGGAATCTGCGAGTTAGATAGTGGATACCTAACATGTGACTCCAAACACAAGGGTTCAGTTGTAAAGTTCTTTAAAGAACAATGAGTCGTGCTTCGATGAAGATACTTATGTAGGTGGTGTTGAACCCAGAGGATAAATTATGGAAGGGTTGGTATCATTTTTTGTTGATTGGTCAGAATTTTATTATTCTTTGAATTTGTGGTTGACTGATCAGATTTGTATTTTTTGTTAGGTTTTTTGGTTGACAGATCAAATCTGTATTATTCGTGGCATTTGTGTTAGAGGTGCGAATGAAATGTTTTAAAGAGATAACAAGTAGGCTGATCATGGGAGAATTAGTGTTTGGGAAATAAAATCAGTCTTACTGAAACTTACTCACAGAAGACCACAACCTTTGGAAGAAAATTTTCTCTAATTTTAGATAAAACAAGAAATACCCTTTGTGCTTGACTTCAAAAACAAAAAATATGCATTTTCTAGCTAAAGTCCAATTTCTTCCTCTTGGAAGGAAGACTTTCATCAACAAAAAGGCAGCTTGTTCTTTGAATTTAATCTTTAAAGCCATAGTTGAGACTTTTGACCAAGCAGAATGGTTATCTCCAACAGGTGGAGCAATGATGAGAACCTTGGAAGGTTGCTCCAAGAAGTGGATCGACTATCTCAAGTTCCAAGGGAAGAATCCATTGTTTAAGGCATTAGATTTCTAGGACATGCTTTGGTTTGGATTGAAAGAAGTTTCATAAGGGGTTCTCGAATGTTTCAAGCTGGTGTTTGGTTGGAGCATGGATGGCCAAAGCTATGGTGGTTATTATGCATAACATATAAGCAAAAGAGTGTATGAGATTAATGGAAAGAATACGAAAGAACAAGATATAAATACCTAGATGAGGTTAACTTATCTTGGATGTAAACCAAGATCATGACAAAGAGAAACCAAGAATTAGAAGATTGTGCTACTCAAACTCAATGGCATAAGCAAGGTGATCAGCCACTTGAGACTTAGTCTTCAATATAAAAATATAAAAGATTGAAATTGTCAACTTCTTGTAACAAAGTATAACAAGGTCTACAAAATGGCCTAAACTCTCCTTATGTAGATTAAGGAGGCGTGTAGGAAGGGAAGAAAGTCAAACACGCCTCCTCTTATAAATGTGACCAAATACAAGGAAGTCTTATACACAATCAAGTAATTTATTACATGAAAGCTATTATTTCTTTTCTTTACAAGTTTTCTAACTTGTAGAACTCTTCCTTTGCCTTCTTTTTTTTAAGCTTAAATATTTCCTTTCTATCCATGACCACACCAAGAAGAAACCAATAATGCACTAAGGTTTCTTCTGGATCCACGTAGAAAGGGCTAGAAGGTCCCAGAATCCGATTTGGATTCACCAGTAATCAAAGAGCGAAGAAAGAATTCAAGAATCAGTGATGAAGAATTTTGTACAGCAGTAGCAGAGCATCCTAGGAAAGGAGCTCTATTGCCGTAAAAAAATTAAATCGAGAAGGAGAAACTTTCAGAGAATGAGAACCTTTTTTCTGAGATGAAAATAAAGCACTAGTGAAAGATGGAAGGGTTTTCTCTCATTGCTAACTAGATTTTGAAATAGCTACCAATCAATTGAATCGACAGTAGAGAGAATGAGAGACATACCAGAAATGAACCAAACAACTAAATCAGTTATCATTTTCACAGTTCGCAACAGCTAATAAAACAGTAAATTCCTCTTATCCGTTTGAATCAGTTCGATGGCCCCAAAAATATGCAGTGCTGATGTAAAAAGTCCAAACCCCTCAAAACTAAAGACTGTGGATGCTACTATATTACTTGAGTCATAGATCTACGCAAAATCAAAAGGCATCACAGAAGAATCCTGATTGCATAAAAATTGTGGAAGTTTCAAGAGCAAAAACAATAGATTCTACAAACCATAAGCAATTTCAATTTCAATTACAAAACCATAAGCACGTTAACTTAAATTTGCAGAAGTTACGCACACGGGCAAGACATGAACATCAATAATGCATTCGAACTTAAACTATCAGTATTGCGTATAGAGAGGACGCCTGTATTCATCAAAGTACTGGTCACGATCAACGAAGATAATGGCATAGAGAGCATAAATGATGCCAGGAATATAACCTAGAATTGTGAGGAGCAAACAGATGATGAATTCAACCTGCAAAACGAAATCACAGTTTCAGATCTCGCATATAGAGAGAGAGAGAGAGAGAGAGAGAGAGAGAGATCAAGACAGAGAAAAAGAGAGGAGACAGACGCTGCAACAGCCGTGGCGAAAGCAAACTCCGATTGGAGGAAGCAAGATCGCGATCATTATCTCGCAGCATATTTCACAACGCGTCGGCATCTTCCACTGTGATGAATGATAATGCTTCTACACTTGTACTCCTTTTCTTCCTTTTTTATCTTCAATAATCAATCAGTATCAGATTGGAAGCTGCGTGGTCGTTTAGTTTTGACATTAACACGCCAGGTGTACTGGTACGCAACTAATTCTCCTCCGTTAGATTTATTATTCTTTATTTGAGGGTTGAGATTTTTTGTTTCTTCCTTTTCCATATTTGCCCTTCAACCCTTCAACTCTTCTCTTTGTCCTTCCATTCTTGACACTCTACAAGTTATCGAAATTGTTGACGACATCGCGAAGCACCACCGTGGAAGTAAAACAATGATGGTGGAAATGGCTTCCGGCAGTCACGTGCGGCTGTGGAAGGAGGAGGAAGATGAGATACTTATTGTCTTGCTCTACTTAAATCACCCACCCCAACCTATAAACTCAATCAATATCCAAACTCATTTTATCACACACTTCAATGAACACCTACTAATTGCTAAACCTGCTACTACTTCTGTGAGAACCAACCAAACCATCTCATCCTCACCAACCAACCACCTCTGCTCATCAATCACTGTTCTTTCTCCTTGCAAACAAAAATAACGAATAATTTTAATATTCTCTCATCTTTTTCTTCTCTTGTATCTGTTCTCTACTATTTTCAAAATTATTTCCTTAAATAAAAGTATATTTCTAGGTAGAGTTGAAATACTCTATATAAACTAAGGCTAGAGTGTTTATTATTAAAGTATATTAATTTATATTGATTTTATTGCGAACTAAGTATTGGATGATGTGCTATTTTATGATAGATATTATATTACAAGAAATTCAAAATGTTTTTAAAACTTTTATTTCTACAACTAACTATTTTTCAAATCACAACATTTTCTTGTATTTCAATAATTTTAAAATGACAATAAATAAACATTTAAACAAAGGAATTGGGTTTTATTTTGTACCTGTTACCAAATTCTAGAAATATATGAAAAAAAACATCATTGAATCATGATGGAGAGTAAAGGTGCATACTCAAACAATATGAATTGTTTAATATGAAACGAAGCGAGAAAGACGTTTCAAAATAAAAAATAAAACATAAAGCACCAAACTAATAAATACAAAAAAAATGGTAAATTAAAAATAGATTATTCAGATGTATAAAATAAATATTTATTTTTAAATATACATTTAATTAAATAAAAAAGATGCTCCGATTTTAAATAAACATAAAATTAAACTGAAAATAAGAGAAGTAGAATTTAATTTTTATATTAGCATTTCATATAATTTTACATTGTATTAGTTTGATGATATTTAGTATTGTGTCAATTTATTAAAATTTAAATTTAAGTATAACAATATAATGTAGATTTTTATAATGTTAAAAGTCCATAAAATGATATTTTAATATAGACCTTAGTATCACAAATTGCTATACTATATATATTTAATATGATTTCTAAATGATTAAGTTCTTATTTTTATTGTGTTTTCTTGAATTGCAGCATTAAAATAATACAGAAAAATACAACTATTAATCTGATACCTGAATTTAAAGAATTTTGAATTCTCGGTCTATGGAGCACGACTTTTGACCCGTCCCTTCAAACAATATTTCCAACAGTAATGCTTTTATTTATTTATTTTTCTTACACTGACTACAAACTCTATTGGCAACATCTAGCGGCAACATTTGTCCAAAGTAATAATTCTTGTCAGTCACACATATCAGTGCATCATGAATGTTGCATTGTTTTACACAACCACTGCATAACTCAAACATATTTCAATTACTTTTAATTTTAAAAATTTATTAATTATTCAAGAATTATTTTTGATGGTTAAAGTCTAAGTTTTATACAAGATTTAAATTTATATTTCGAAAATTTTTCATTATCACAGCGTCTATTTTAATTAAATTTATCATAAGACTCAAATGTCAAACTTGAATATTTTCAGTCAGGAAAGTTATAAAGTTATGCTTTTTGTACTTGGAATGTCAAATGTTGAACAAAATAATTAGATAATACAATTAATTGAATTGCCACATCACATCTTCTCTAGTATTAGTTATAATGTGGACACTCTTTTGAGAACTGAAGATAAACAAAACAGATTTGTCTGTCACCATTCTGTTGGATGGAGGAAATACTTGTGAGATATAAAACCTTTTTATTGTCTTTTTTGGTAAGTTTTGCAATAAATTTATGTCATTTAATAATTTAGATGAATTAACTATATATTTTTTATAATTTATTGAAATGTATAATGAACTAAATGACATAATATATGAAAGCAATCGTATAAAAAATGTCCACCATGTAGATCAAGGAATCCAAAAAGAGTATGTAAGTGCATGAGAACATATTGTACCACAATAATAACTGGAATTTGAGAAAAACTTAATATCAGTTTTGTGAGTGAGATTGATTTTTCTTTGTAGTAAATTTCTGACGTGGATTGTTTGTATTGTATTCATCTGGTGCAACTTGTTGTGAGTAAGTAAGAGTTTATTTTTGGACTTTCTAAGTTATCTATATCAGGAAATCTAATTGAATATAAATTTCAGTTTTTCTTATTTTTATTGATCATGTAAAGTTTAATTAATTGAGTAAATTATTATTATATAAATTGATGTAAAAAAATATTAGTAAATTTTGTTGAGTGTGACTGATGTTTTTTATATAAATGAATATAATTTGTAAAAAATAAAATATGTTTAAAGTAAAGGATATTTAAACAGATTTTAATACAGTTTTGTGCGAACGCGAGCTTTTATAAATAAATTTTTAGCCGGATCACCACAAATCTTAATTTTAAATACAATGATTTGATATAATATATATATATATATATATATATATATATATATATATAATATTTTTAAAATTTAAATAAAAGATATTAATCATTTTTAAAAGTGACCCAACCTATGCATATAAAATTCAACCAATACACATTTAGACTTTGAACAAAAGGAAATTTTTTAAAATTTATTTAAGTTACCAATTTTTATTGTATTTTTCTACTTTTAAGAATTTTTAGAGTTTAAATCTATCTTCAAAGTTCGAACCTTATTCAATAGATAACCAGGTTGTGACAATTATATAACAAGTATGATATATTATAGACGTCATCATCTTAATATAATAGAACAGTTGAAGTAAGACTGACAATTCAGTTAAGGTTATAGTCATCCAAAATATCACTAGAATTTGAAAACTTAAACATAAAAGACTACTAAAATAATACCACTTAATTAAGACCCTATAAGTACTAAGTTGCAGCATCCCCGTCCTCCAGCACTTGCTTCAGGGACACCTCCTCAACATCTGCTCACATTCAAGTGAATGATCATTGCAAAAGAAAAACACACACAAGCAATACAGAAACACAAAAGCAAGGGTGAGCTAGATATAAAAATCATGTTATACAATCACACATAACATGCAAATCAAAGCATATATATATATTAGACTACACCATCAAGACTTGTTTCACTTTAAACTTGACTCGTTCGGACTTAGAATGATTGTCGAGCTATGGTGGGTCATGCACTCGTGGTGGCTTCTACTGCTTTGCAAAGTCGTTGTCAATGAGTTTCACCCTACCACACTCACGAGGTAGTCCGTCATCACTCATCTTGGGCCATACTGGAAGCACCCAAGACTAGAACCTCCTGCTACTACTCACAACATGGTATAATCTTCTCTACTTGAGAATGATTGACCATTGTAGTTTCAAGATAACCCCCAAGATTGAGCTTCCAAGCAAATCATTCTAAACACACTAAAAGGGCACTACCATGTATCCCTCCCTTGAGGATCATGGAATTACGTCCAAGACTGATACTTTTCACTTTCAACACAATAATACATCATACATTCACATACTTTCAATTTAACCACATTACAACAATCATACTTTACACGAAAATCATCACACACACTTAATTTACCCAAAACAATAGCTAAAGAACTTGAACCGAACGCTAAGAGCTTTGGCCGAGCACTTAGAGCTTTGAGACCGAGTGTCGGTACAAGACCGAACAATCATTAAGAGACCGAGTACTAGTACAAGACCGAACACTCTTTAAGAGACCGAGTGCCAGTACAAGACCGAACACTCTTTAAGAGACCGAGTGGCATTACAAGACCGAACACTCTTTAAGAAACCGAGTGCCAGTACAAGACCGAACACTCTTTAAGAAACCGAGTGCCAGTACAAGACCGAACACTCTTTAGGAGACCGAGTGTCAGTACAAGACCGAACACTCTTTAGGAGACCGAGTGACAATACAAGACCGAACACTCTTTAGGAGACCGAACGTTCATGAACTGGTAAGACTTAAAAGAGACCAACCCAGTTATGACCGAGAGCAGCACAAGACCGAAAGGTCAACTGCAGAATTCTGCATAATTCTGCATAATTGCAAACATAACCCAACATGACCATTTCTAACCATTTTTACTAACTTCTAATACCCTTAATTCTTTTTTTATACTTAACTAAACTTATCTAAATGATTCTAAACATTCCTACTACCATTCTAAAGTGATTAAGACTCAATTTTAACCCTAAAACACCAATTTTCCCAACTTAGGGATCCAAAACCCAATCCTACTGCTTTGCACCTATTTTGATCAATTTAGTGACTCAAACAAGTCACAATACACTGGCTAAGATTGCCCCAACAACTCAATTGCGCTTTAGGTCCCAAATGCCCAAAATCACTACCTCACTTCCCCCAATTTGTCCTAAAACACCAAAATTTCACTTAACTTTCCATTTCATCCAAGCTATAACATATTTATCACTCCAAGCACTTCCAACACGCCTAATTACAACAGCTAGATTCAACCAATGCAGTTTACAGACCTCACACTACAATTTCATACATCACACGCATCAACATGTATGACCAACTTACTTTAGAGCTTAAACAAGCAAACTAAACAGCACACTCATTAAGGAATTTAGTATACATACAAACAAATACTGCAAGCAAATTGAAAACAATATCTAGCTCCCCTTACCTTAGGGTTTCACATCTAAGCTCACAACTTGGTTCGACAGTGC